TTCTCCGAGTCCTTCTCGTCTTGTATTATCTTGGTGCATCGTGCGACCTGGAGGGGCTGCTCTTCTTGCATTCGTTGGCGGTCGGCGGCGATATCCCAGAGATGTGGAGGTGCGAGACCGGTATCTGATTCCTGGAGGCGTTAGTCGAGCATGGAGGAGGGTGAAGGAGTCTGTACTTTGACGCCAATCTTCTCGTTTATCGTCTGCTGCTTGTCCTTGATCTCCTTCTCGAGCTTCTTGAGTTCGGCGCCATAGGGTGCCGCGCCGTATGTCTTCAACACCTGGATGTCCCTGTGATGCCATTAGCCCATGCCTGCGTTGAACGAGACTTGGCGTCTCCTACTCATCCGTCAGAGGTGTGATCTTCTTCTCCTCGACCTCGTCGTCGGCGAAGTTCTTCTGGTACTTCTCCCAGGACTGGCCTGTGGCTGAAGGCATGCTTGCGGAGTGGGCGGCGACTGTCGTGTGGCCGAGCTAGGGTTCGGGCTATGCGTGCAGTCGAGTTGTGGATGAGTCCGGGTAGAAGTGACTGTGGGAGCAGATGCGGCGACGCGGGCGAGTGTATGGGGTTGGTTGTTGTGGACTGGGTGAAGGTGTAGCTGTGATGCGGCAATGGCCCGGCGAGTCGGAGCTTGGGGATTGGCCGTGCGCTACGTCTATCGCGTTCTCGAAATATTGTCAGTTCGCGTCCAGGCACCACGACTTCCCCGCCAAACTCCCACGATACCCCTCTTTTAGCTTTGTTCTCCTGTATACTGAAAGATGGCTGCTCAAGTTGCAAATGGCGGTACCGGTGGCGGTAACACTGCCTTCAAGGTGCGCCTCGTCACTAAGCTCTGAAAACATTGACTGACATTGGCCCAGGACAAGGAGAAGCCCAGAGCTGTTCGCAGCGCCAACATCATTGCCGCAAGAGGTACAAAACCTAATCCTTCTCTTTTAGGAGCATCTCGCTAACTTAAATTGCGTAGCTGTGGCAGATGCGATCCGAACTGTATGTCCCACCACGAGGTGCGGGGAAGAGATGAATACTAACTTTTTGGCAGTCTTTGGGACCAAAGGGCATGGACAAGATGGTACGAGACAGGCGCAAACTCTTAGCCATCAAAACTGACCCGTCTAGATCCAAACCAGCAAAGGCCAGACCATCATCACGAACGACGGAGCCACCATGCTGAACCAGATGAGCGTTATGCATCCCTCCGCGAAGATGCTCGTCGACCTCGCACACGCCCAAGATATCGAAGCCGGAGATGGTACAACATCGGTCGTAGTCATTGCTGGAAGTCTGTTGGGCGCTGCTGAGAGGTTATTGGGCAAGGGCATCCACCCCACAGTCATATCAGAGGCTTTCCAACGGGCAGCGCAGGAGGCGATATCCATATTGACCGAGATGGCCATCCCTATCTCGCTCACCGATAGGCAAACGCTCCTCAAGACCGCCACGACCGCACTCTCTTCCAAGATCGTCGCTCAGGAGCCCAAGCTACCCATCATGGCTGTGGATTCAGTCCTCAAGGTCATCGACCCCAAGACCGCCGACAACGTAGACTTGAAGAACATCCGGATGATCAAGAAGTCAGGCGGTACCATCGAAGACAGCGAGATGATCGACGGTCTGGTTCTCAACCAGCCCGTAGTCAAGAGCGCCGGTGGTCCCACATTGAAGGAGAAGGCACGGATAGGTCTCATTCAGTTCCAGTTGAGCCCACCGAAACCGGACATGGAGAACCAGATTGTCGTCAACGACTACAGGCAAATGGACAAGATCCTCAAGGAGGAGCGAACGTATCTGCTGAACATGGTCAAGAAGATCCAGAAAGCGAAGTGCAACGTTCTCTTCATCCAAAAGTCCATCCTCCGAGATGCAGTCAACGACCTCAGTCTGCACTTCTTGTCTAAGCTGAAGATCCTTGTCATCAAGGACATTGAGCGTGACGAGATTGAGTTCATTTGCAAGGTACGCAAGAGAAGTGATTCACATGTAACGAAGCTAATGCACAGTAGAGCACTGGCTGCAAGCCTATTGCCGATATCGATTCATTCACAGAAGACAAGCTCGGTTCGGCAGACCTTGTCGAGGAGGTACAGGCATCGGGCGCACGATACGTCAAGGTTTCGGGTGTCAAGTCAGCAGCCAACACTGTCTCCATTGTCTGCCGAGGTGCTAACAACCTCATTCTGGATGAGACCGAGCGATCTCTACACGACGCTCACTGCGCCATCCGCTCGTTGGTCAAGAAGAAGGCGCTACTTGCTGGTGGCGGTGCCCCGGAGATTGAGATTGCGCATCAGCTGTCACTCAAGGCTCGTGAGCTCTCCGGCACTGAATCCATTTGCTGGAAAGCTTTCGCCGATGCCATGGAGGTCATTCCGACAACACTGGCGGAAAACGCCGGTCTGAACAGCATCAAGGTCGTCACAGAGCTAAGGCATAGGCACGCACAGGAGCAGAAGAATGCTGGTATCAGCATCAAGAGCGGGGGTGTCAAGAACGACATCAGCGAGGAGAACGTACTGCAGCCACTGCTGGTCAGCACCAGCGCTATTGAGCTTGCAGCCGAGACCGTCAAGATGATTCTGCGAATCGACGACATCGCCTTGTCGAGGTAAAGAACTGCAAATGGATTGACTTGGCAGCGAAAGACGCAGGATACCACGAGTAATGAAAAATTCGAACAACTGTTGATGCCAAATAAGTGTTTGGAATGTCATGACATTGCATGTGAAGGTTACGCGTATATTGCGTTGAATGCATGAACGGTGCAATTAAAACCTGCACGTGGGGGAGCATGGGACTGCAGTAGCGGGACACGTCGTTCTCTGCAGACTGTCGAGAAAGGACAAGCCGTGGATCACTTTTCTTCTTCCAGATGCCGAATTCGGACCACTTTGATCCTGGGGTATGCACCTGAAATGAGCACTGTTTTCAACTTGACTCGTTTGGAAAATGGAGAAATGCGAATGCGACTATCCGCGCGCGTGACGAAGCAATTGCTTTTCGGGCTGATCTTTCGCCCGCATAGGTTATCCGGCCGTCAGCATGTAGACGCAGTGTTTCCGTGCCGTGTTCATGAGTAGTGTATGTGTGTGATGCCTCACCACGATAACGCGAGCACCCTGGCCTAACGACTTTGTCGTGCACCCAGCATTGCAGAATATCACAACATGAAAACCGTTTCAATGCAAGCAGACGATCGGTTTTGTAATCTTGCTGTAGGTGCTTATCACCCGGCCAAGATGTGAATCCTGACCTCGGGAACGCCGACGGACAGCGTATCTGCAGCAACATCACTTTTTAGCTGCGGCCACGGAACTCATACACAGGTATGCTGACTAGCAAGACATTCATCATCAGCACCTTCAATAAATCTTAAATACGACTCCGGCTACACTACGCGCGTGTAATAAGCAAAGGCGCGAAAAAAGTAAAGAACCCCGGAAAACACCACCTCCCAGCCGCCCGTATGCAATCTAACGGCATTCCACGCTCTTTCGCATCACAGGACAATGACATGCATATGCCGTACCTTTTTTCCTAACTTTCTTTTCCCGTCGATCAGCCAACGCCACAACAACGACCTGCAGTGCCACACGAGCAAAACCCAGCATACAATGTAAACAACATCGTCACCTCACGCAAATGCGTCACCGACCCAAGGAAAACCACTCAATCGATCCAGACCCCCGCCACACACATGACCCGAATGACTGTACGCGCGCGCTATCCGCTGCGAACGCAAGATCGAGCCCTGTGGGAAGTGAAGAAAAATCTAGCGCAAGCTGAAACGTAGCGTACCGTGAAGATTGGAGCAGTTCGGTTCGGCATCTAGTGGGTTAGTGTACCAGGAACCGCGTACAGGTAAGTCAGACTTGTTCGGCAAGGGAACCCATTAGGAATCTAGAGCCGGGTGGGCAGGTGGAGCTTCACCGGAATGCGGTGGTGGAGTTGGGGGAGCTGGTGGAGGATAAGAGTGAGTGGGTGTTTCATGTTCCAGTGGCTGATGGGATGTTCGTTGTATCTTTTGCGGACAGGTAGTGGGCACGTCATTGTTGACTGCAGGTGGAGGGTTGGAGGAGTAGAGAGGGAGGCTGGAGATGATGGTTGATGGAATATGCTGTGCGATATGTTGATGCGTTGGATCGACCAATGCTCTCTCACATATACTCAACCTCAACCTAGCTGCCCAATAATCCTCTTTCTCATGCATCTTACCTCGCCACCGAAACACATCCTCCCAGCACCACGAAACGCATACAACGCCCAGTATCAACTACTGCATGCAAACTGTACGAGTACTGTAATGTTGATCTTTGCCTAGCCACTGGATGAAAACGGCAACGTCATACAGCCATCCCTGCCCTTAACATCTATGCGATATAGATCTCTCCGCTGCGGATAATATGGTTAGTGCAGTTCTTTGGCGAAACATGTGGAGAGATAAGACGGGTAGTGTGAACGGGTAGGTAAAGCTCCGGTAGAGAGTACGAGGACCTAGTCATGATCGCTGGGGGCGATCACTCCTTCGGCAAAAGTCAGGTGCTGTGAGTTGAGACGCTGGACTGTATCGGCAATTGCGATGAGTAACCGTTGTTGCTTGATGTAATAGGAAATACGCGGAAACAATGCTATCGACAAGGATGAGGCGAAGTGGTGGTATCAAAGCGACAAACCAGTTTTGGTGGCTGCCGACTGGGTATCATTCTCGATGAAGTTCTTGGCTAGCTAAGTATGAAGAAATACCAGCAGGGTAGCTGGACATGGGAGATGAAAGGAAAACGCCTCATTCATGCATCTGAATCGTTCGGTTCGTGCATCGTGATAATCGTACAGTCTGATGAGCTTTCGTAAACCCCCGTAAATGTCTAGAAAATGGTTGGACAAGGAAATAAAAGTCGCTCGCTGAAACGCAGCAGACCTGTTGTTGGTCTTTATTAGGAAAGACAGGCAAAAAGTACAATGTGAGAAGTGAATTAATAGATGCAGGCTGAAATGGGGATCAGCGACTGGTGGCCTTGAGGCTGGCACGCTTCAGTAAGCGGCTCACAAGGTTTCCGCGCGGTTTAGGCTTAACGTAAAAGGCGCCCTTGGTACCGGTCATGTCGTCGGTGAAGACAAGGTCTTCCAGTGCCAGAGGATCGTCTTTCGAGGTTTTGGGACTTGAGCTCGAGCCTGAGCCTTGCCAGCCATACAGTTGATCTTCGTCAGCTCGTAAGTCGGGCCGGGTCAAGGTCATACGGAGCGTCATCTCGCGATTAAAATGCCCATTGGCGGAGTGGACAGGCGACGGAGCCGGCGAATCAACCGAGAACTTGCGGTGCGAGATTTGCCGGGAGTGCATACGGAAAGACAGGCCGGTGCTGGAGGGCGTGGCAGGTGAGTCCATGTCGGCTACAGAGCCGGCATCAGATTCCAGTCCCTGGTTCTCCTTTGGATGGTCTTCGAAGAACGACAGCTGTCCATCCCTAAGGAAGGTGTGCATGTCTCGGCTGAACTTGCGAGCGTGATTGTCTATTTGTGGCAGCTGGAAGTGGGGCGTAGCGGCGTCGCTTCCAGCGGACGATGGGAAGCCGAATTCAATCGCTTCGTCGAACTTTTGAGGAGATGCAAGATACATGCGCAGCTTTTTCCTCGCCTCGGGATCCTGGTAGTGTGTCGCTTCGGGGTCGATCATGAGAGTTGGCGGCGTAGATGGCGAAATGTGGCCTGTAAGAGAAGAAGAGTGGGCACGCTGGTGAAGTCGATTCGGCCGAGCATTGAAGAGTGGAGGATCCGCCATGTATGAAGATCCAAGGCGGACAGGGTGCGACGTGAGGGACATGGTTCGTCTCATATCTGCCGTTGAGGTTTCCCTCCGATGGAAGATGGGCGTGGCCATTGTGTCGAGATATAGTAAATGGGTGTTTCGGTCCTTGTCCGTGTTTGATGTACAAGAAGGCCCGAAAGTAGGGCGGGAAGGGCTGACGGTTGAAGAGGCCGAAGATGAACGACGTCGTGAACGGCCGCGTTCCGGAAGGTCGAGCGTGGAGTGGGAGAAGTCGAAGTGAAAATCGTTGAAGCGTTGTTGTGCCCACTCGGGATCCTGGTCGTCGGGAAGGAACGCCTGTTCGTGCCTGCCTTGGAGGAGGGCCTGCTCTTCGCGGGAAAAATGCTGTTTGCGTACCTTTTCAGGCAAGGAGAGAAAGAAGTCAAGGTCAATGTGGGAGATGTCGTGAGCGTGCACAGCCTTTTCGGATTTGCGTCTGCGTCGTCCGGTGCCGAGAGATAGCGAGGGCCGGTGGGATTTGGAAGCGGTGCTGGCCTGGGACGAGCGGCCTGATGTAGTAGGCTCGTCGGAGGCGTGCTGGGCGATCTGCAAACGCTCCAGGGATGAAAAGTACTTTCTCCTGTAGCGGGACGAATTAGCATTGGCATCATGGCATAATTGACAGGCCCTTCATCTACTGCAAGGTACACAAAAAGTCATGGTGGGGGATTCGGTATATGCACGCGCATAACGCGCCCTTATCACACGTGCCGACCACTCAGGAGCGCGGAATATTACTTACTGGACTGAATACGGCAGGGCGTCGAATTCGGCCTGCCGCAGAGGCAGAATAGTCCCTTTGGCTTTGCTCTTCATGGCTTCGGCTCGGATCTCGACGTCGGCGATGGCGCAACGTTTGGCTTCAGGCACATGGGGGCGTGGTTTGCGCGGACGACGCTGCGAATGGCGGCCCTGACGCCGTGGCCGGGCGGTGCGGCGGGCACTTGGTCGTGAACGTTTGGTTGAGCAATGCTGGTGTACTTTGTTCTCGAGGATCGACCGGAGGGCTATCCGAACAGCAGCAAGCGAAAGTCCGAAGAAGAAGGAATTATATGAGGTCCAACAGGACGGCCGCTGGGGGATAGAAACAATCAGTGGGCTCAGCAGCGTACGACTGTCGCTCGCACTTGGGGCGGCTGCATATTCGTGTCGCGGGATGCTGCAGCTGCAGGCTAACGCGCCGCCAGCGACGCACTCTCTGCTCTCCACCTCACACCTGGGCCCTAGTAGAACCGTGGCTGATGTATCCGAGAGCACGCCAGGCCCGCGTGCGGTCGTTGGTTGAGTCAGGTCGTGCAGACAGGCCTCCTCCCCGCTTCTCTCCACCTTGCCGTCCGCTGTTTCAGGCCCGTGGCCGCCAGGAACACACCGTCAGCGGAGCCACGATGCTTAGCGTGCGACACACCGCTGGCCAACGTGCCCGGCTCGCGGAGTCGACAGATGCTCTCCAGCACATTTGCCTGATTAAGCCTCCGCATCAAATATACTTGCTTCTGGAATATGCGTTATGGCGTTACTACCAGGCCGCCCGACTGGCCGGCTCAATGGCTGCGCCAGCGTGTCACGGGTTAATATCGCACAGATCACCGTCGATTGCCAGACGCCTTGTACAACGTCGAGCATGCGCTGCGTAACGACGACAGGCTGACAACACGCACGCACGCTCCAAACAATCTGTCTAATTGCAGCGTATTGCACAGGTACAAGCAAGGGTATCTCAAGAGAAGCGCATCCAGCTCCCGCGCCAACACAAATGCTACCGCCCCCTGCACAGTTCCTAATATGGTTCCCAGAGAGCGGTACCTGGTTCCCAATTTGAACGTCGACAGACGTCTATTCACAAGACGGCGAACGTCTTCCACCCCGCCGTTGCCTAGTTCCGCATCGAGAAAGATTAGGCTTTCGGAAGCGTAGGCTTAGGCTTCCCAACATCATGCAGCTTGGACGTTGGCGGCCCCATTAATTTCACTATTACCTGCACAAGATCGATGTTTGTTGTCCAGGACTCCTGTCCGTGAACAAGCATTTTCTAGATCTTCAGGCACCCGCAATGTCATCTGCATTAAGGTACCAAGTCAGTATTGAGCCCGTGCCACAGTGTAAAGGAGGAGCACGTACAGTAGTATTCGTCATCCAGTCCTTCACGACTGGGGAGCACTGGTTCCTCCAGCCCGACATCTTCGTAGCGAACGTTGAGCAGACGGATCTTGAGCCCGTAACCGCCGATGAAGGTTACCAACTTATTGGTGTCAGCGGTAATTGGCTGTTGGTTCAGTAGCATCAGCAGTCCATCAAGCCACTCGGAAGCAAGGGTATGGCTCTGGGGATGCAGATGCAGTAGGACGGATTCTTTTCGCCCTGCACCTGAGCCGCTGGACGCCTGCCGCGCGTGATTGGACGGGGGCAGGTAACCGTGGATCGTGATCTTGGTCGACGTCGAAGCCCGCTCGTGGCCTGGCAGGGTTGTGACCGTACTGTCTGACGATGCGGTCGATGGCGCCGAAGCCGAGACATTGCTCACCACCGAAGAGACAATGGATAGATCGACTGTACATGCGGGTCAGCCACTGCGGTAACGCAAACCACAAACGACGCGTGGACGCGTTACACTTACTCTTCTCCTGCAGCGTGTCTAGCCTCGGCTCAGTCGCCGTCTTCTCGTCAAAGTCAGCGTAATGCAGATATCGCCGGTTGTGCGACAATCGGACAAAACGCCATGATGAGGGCACAGAACGATTCAGGGTCTTGCTGGTTACCGGACCCGCACTCGTGCCGTAGTCGATACCCATTGGAAACCACGCGCCCTGTAGCAGGCATCTTATACGCTGCTCCTTTACAAACTGCAGAGCCTCGTGGTTGAGCTCGTCACGGACCTGACTGTGGAGAGTTAGCTGAGCACAGACTACATCGACGCAAACTGCATACCGGAGATGATGGCCCCATGCATCCTCGTAGGTCAGCTCCAGTACTTCCATTTGAAGTTCTCTTAGGCGTTTCAGCTCGAATTCAGCCAGATCTTCCTCCACGTCCTTGACATCCCTCATGCGTGGCGCCTGGCCCACGACCTGCTCGATCAAGATGCGGACAAGCTCTTCGATCTTCTCAAAGTCCTCGGTTTGTGCGCCGGCTACCTTCCATAGTCGGATGAAGGCACTCAGGCCACTCGTATGTAACCTGGACCAGTGGAGCAGGAGGGGCTTGAAGGAGCGGTCGAAGTTAGCCCGCGAGTCGGTAGGTCGGTGGGAGTCCACATCGTCGAGCTTATCTATTTCAAAATGTTCGTATAGTGTCTGCGTGACCGACAGACTTGCGCGAGCGATTGGGCATCGCTGCTCGAGCGGCTCTGCCGACTGCTCCAGCAAAAGCTTCTGAAACCCGTCTTCGTTCTTGTAGACAAAGTCTGTAATGTCCATGAGGCCTAGGAAGCCAGTCGCATCGAACTCCCACGCGGGTGATTCCGTCTCGAAGCCCAGACGCTTCCATTTATCCGGGTTGTGCTTCTTGCTTCCTTTGGGGTCTGATGCTGACTTTTCTGGATTACTCGCCGTGTGTAGACCCCGGATCGCCCTCCTGTGATCGGGGTTCTCCAAGTCAACCTTCTCTTCCCTCCAGTTCCTGAGCAGTATCTTGGTCAAGGATTGGAAGTCGAGTAGTGGATGTGCCAGATCCTGTATCGCAGAGCTCTGCATAAGCCCGTACACGCTCTTAATCACGCCCAGCTCCTGCAGCTGCTTGATAAACTTGGGCCATTCAAAGGCCGCGTCGTTTGCGATGGCGTCTCGCATGAGCGCGTTGATGAGCTGTAGGGAGTTTGCGCATAGCGCGTGGTCGGCCGAGGTGATCTTTTCGACGAGGGAGGGAAGGAAGTCGGGCTGAGAGTCGACGGCGGGCTTCAAGCGCTGGAAGCCCGTGGTCCCGTCCTGGGAGTTACGGTGTGAGGGGTGGCCGACAATAGCAGCGAGGACCGACATGGCACCGCGGTTGACGTTGACGAGAGGTTGCGCGACAACGAGGTCGACGATCTGGAGTATAGTTGTTAGACTTGTTCAGGCAATCCCTCCTTGTCAACTTACCCTCGCGACCAGATCATCCGTGACATGATCCCATCCCTTGTCCAACTCCAGCAGGCGCGCGAGAGAGGTCAGACAGTAGGCCAGGGTGTTGCCGGTCGAGTGCAGGGCCAGGAAGCGCAGCTTGGGCAGGCCGCCTTCGTAGATGAAGACGTCGGCGAAGGAGGGGTCGCCAATGGCATTCTGCAGCTTGAAGACCGCCATCTTCCGCACCGACTCCTCCTCCGCGCCGAGGCGCGCAACCAGTTCCGACACATTGACGCTATCCATGGCTCAAGCTTCTTCGCAGGGTGGGAGGATGTGGGGTAGGTGAGAATAATGTGGAGATGGTTCGTTCGCCCCAAGTCACGCAGGAAGGGCAGACATGGCACACGCGCCAGAGACCGAGGCGGCGGAGTTGGCGGGCGGGATGCTCGTCGCTGCTGTCGACGATGTTTCACCCTGTCCTGCGCCGTCGCGCGTTAGCTGAGTCGCGCGACCCTTTGCTTGGCGACACGCTTCACGTGCGCCGGCCCACATGCTGTTGGCTGCCTGGGCCGGCTAGTCAGGTACGTCGCCGAGCCGACAACATCCAAAGCGCCGTCCGGTCCGTCCTGAGCACCATCGCGACTAAACATCAGCCCTCCTTTCGGCCCATCCGCGTTCCTTTGCCTTAGCGCGCCGTCCGCGATACCCTTTGTCCTGTTTTGCAAGCCGCTTTCTGTTCTGTGTTGACGCCGCCGCTGCACGTTCCAGCTCCTTCCGCCTTTGAGGCCGACAACAGCTTCTCCGCTTCACCCTCACCATCACCGCGAAGTCGCCGCCACTATGGTCTACATCACCTCTGACTTGTTCGGTCCCAATACACCGCACGAGCGCCAATACGACACCACCACCAGCTACTGGCACACCATGGCCCATGATCAACACGCCGCCGGCCTGGGCAAGAGAAAGAGAATGGCTGGCGACGACGGACCCCAACCGTATGCACCAATACTCCACCCAAAGTAGAGCTCCAAATCTAACAACTCCACAGCATGTCACGCCAACACCGCTCATCACCCAGTCGCGACTCCAACCGCCTCCATCTCCACAATACCCCGCCTTTCGAGAGCAACAACAACAACCTACCATACGCCCTCTTCCCCTCAAAGCCACACGAATACACATCAGAACGTCGGCCGGTGAAGCAACTCAAACGCCTCAGTCCGAAAGCGTCTCTCATCAAGTCAACATCACACCTAATGGACGTCGACTTGGACGCCCCATCACCCTGCCAATCCCAATCACACGCCGTTTCCGACCTGCGATCCTGTCACGCCTGCAACAAAGCGCCCAAGCGACGGAAAGATCTGGAAAACTACCTCGATTGCACGAGATGCGAAGGCCGGACCTGTTTCATCTGTGCGAGGCAATGTGTAGGCTGCAGCAAGGCGACATGCAAGAAGTGCATAGTAGAAGTCGGGGAAGAGGGGGACGCATGGTGTCTCGACTGCTATTCACGGAACCTCAACTCGTGAGCACTAGAAGAGAAGGTACTTTAGTTGTTTTGGTTCATTCTAGCAAAGCGGGCGTCCTTGTGTTACTAGCAGCTGCATCGAGCGAGACTCTATCGAGCATCATAATGAAGAGAAGATTCC